TGGGAGGCAGAGGCAGGAGGATCTCTGAGTTCAAGGCCAGCCTGGTCTATAGAGTGAGTTTTAGGACAGCCAGAGCTACATAGAGAAACATTGTCTTGAAAAAAAAAAAAAGAAACTTTGAGACTGAGGCTAGTCTGACTCTATGACTGTCACACTAGTTGGGATGAAAGACCTGCTTATTTGGCTTGACTTGTGTCCTAGCTTGCTTTCTATTGCTGTGACAAACACTATGACAAAAGCAACCCAAGAAGGAAAGGATTTGTTTGGCTTATACATCCCAATCATATTTCAACACTGAGGGAATCCAAGTTAGGTACTCATGCAGGGCAGGGACCTGAAGGCAGGAACTGAAGCAAAAGCCATGGAGGAACATTGCTTACTGGCTTGTTTTCCATGGCTTGCTAAGTTTGCTTTCTTATCTAAGCCAGGACTTATTCACAGCGGGCTGCGCCATCCCATACAATATCAGTCATTAATCAAGAAAATGTTCCTCAGAGTGACCTGATGGAAGTATTTTCTCAGTTGAGGGGCTCCTCTTCCCATTATGATTTTAGCTTCTGACAAGTTGACAAAAAATAAAAATAAAAAAGCACAGATAGTATTGACATTGATTGTTCTCATGTCATTGCCTCATGGTCACAAGTGGCCTTGCTCAGCTAACTTGCTCATGTTCACCAGAATACCACAGTGGGGGCAGCAGGCTATGTGTGCTAAGCAACCCTATATTGTGTGGAATGTTGGCTTTCAGGCTGTTCCCCGAGTGGCTCCATTTCCAGTGCAAATGGACAAGCAAATGCTTCACTTTTTGAGCATACAGATAATACCGCCTGTACAGCACCATCTGTAACACAGAGACTGAAAAGTCACTTGTTTGTACAAGTAGAAGGGAACCACCTATAAATGTATCAAAGTAGATTGGGGATACATGGGTTCATAGTGTATTAAAATAACATTAGAGGAAACTGGGGATATTGCTCAGTAGTTAAGAGCACTGGCTGCTCTTCCAGAAGTTCTATTCCCAGCACAGACACTATGGCTCACAACTGCTGGTAGCTCTAATCCCAGTGGACCACCCAGAAAGACTCTTTCTGGCCTTTTTAGACACCAAGCATACATGAGGTGCACAGACATACATGCAGGCAAATACCCATATACATTTTAAAAGGCCATAGACTTACTAGACATGCTAGACCAACAAAGGATGCAACCACCCTCACCATGAAGGAAATAAGATAATAAATTCAAGATACTTGTGAAAACAAAGTTGTTGTTAATATATAGTTCTGCAGAAAGGGTTGTCAGTGAGCAAATTTGTCACCGACAGTGGCTTTTAAAATTCTCCAATTGCTAGAAATCCCTGTGCTATTCGTCAGAACTTGCACCCCTCCCAAACTCTCCATTTCATTCACCAAAGAGACAAAGCATCATTTGGGACTTGAGACTGACCCCTTCCTTTTTGGATCCTGGGATCAGTCCTCACCCCCCTCTTAACACTGGCTGGCTTAAAAATCACTACATAAATTAGGCTGGCACCAACTCACAGAGATAAGCTTGCCTCTGCCTCCCAAGTGCTAGGGATCAGCATGCCCAACTACCTCATAATTTTTTGTTTGTTTGTTTTTAATCCCTGTTCACATTCTGGTAAAGAAGCATTTAATTAAAAAATCTTTAACTATGCTTAAATGTAACATTTGGCACCTGCTTGTACCCTGAATATTTGAGTCTTTAAAATCCTTTAAAAAAAACACTTTATAGTCTAGGTCTTTTTTACATTAATCCACGAATTCATGGAGAATGGGCTTCAGCAACTCAGGCTCCTCCCTATTCTCACAACACCTGCTTTCCTGGATGGAGTAGCTGGTGCTTCAGTTGAGCCCCCATACCTCTCTTCTCTTTGGCTACTCTCCCCCGCCCCCCCCCCCCCCCCGCCAAGAACCCTCATTCCTAAGAATTCATAGAGTTGTGTGCTAGTTACTTTTCTTATTATTGTAACCGTGTACCCAACAAAAAGAAACAAGATAAAAAGGGTTTGTTCAGCTCACAGTTTGAAGGTACAGTCAGTGTGTGTGTGTGTTGGGGGGGGGCAGCAGGAGAGAGAGGCAGATGGGAGCGGAAAGGAAGACCAGTCTAGAAACCTCAAAGTCTGGCTTTAATGACCTACTTCCTCCATCTCCTAAAGGTCCAGCAAACTTTCAAAACAATCACCAACTGGGGACCAAATGTCTAAACACATGAGCCCATAGCAAATACTTCACAACAATGGGTAGGGGAACAATCATGTTACTTCCAACTAGTTTCTTCCTTTCTTTCATTTTTACTTTTGTCTTATAAATATGTCAGGCTTTTTAATAAACTGAGACTAGTAACCATGTCAGATACACAGGAGATGTTTTGTCACTAACTTTTTTAATTATTGAGATAAAACTTGTGTACACCACAACAAACAGATCTCAAGTGTTGCTGGAGTTTTCTTTGTCCTGCCAGATCCCACAGCTGCTTTAGCCCCAAATAAGCACACATAGACATATATTAATTATAAAAACTGTTGTCCAATGACTAGAGCTTCTTTTATTAACCCATTTCTAATAATGTAATTATTTCCACATGGTCTTATCTTAACAGAGAAGGGTCCAGACCTGCTACTCCTTCCTCAGCTACATGGCATCTCCCAGCAGTTTCTCTCTGACTACCTTTCCCAGAATTCTCCTTGTTTCCTAGTCCCACCTATCTTCCTGCCTCTATTGGTCAAACAATGTTTTATTTATTAACCAATAAGAGAAACATATATACAGAAGGACATTCCCCCATCACTCAAGTACACAACCAAATGGGTTTTGATAATCTTATACATTTATATAATTACTACCTTGGATCTTATAGTATGGAAGCAACAGAAATGGCACCAAGCCCAATATGATGAACAAGACAGGCAAAGCTTATTGAGACTTCAGCTCATGAGCAGAGGGACTTAACTCCAGTTGAAGAGGTGACAAGGCTGCTTGGTCAATTAAGAAAGCATCAGGCTTTTATTGATTTTTATGGAGAAAATTAAAGTTTGGAAATATTTCATTGTCCATGTTTTCCCTCTCCTGGATAATTATTCTGGCCCTGAAATTTACTCAGTTGACTTAGCCCAAGAAGTTAAGGGTTATGTTTAGAGCTACCATCAATGTATTGCTTAAACATCCTGGCTTTGTGATTTGGTCTGAACTTTAAAAGGCCATGGGACCTTATATAATTGAATCACAGTGGTTGGCAAGAAGCAGCACATGCCAGCTCTGATGGCCGTTAGGCCTGTGCATGGCAGTCTTGGATATAACTACTTCCCCCGTGCTTTGTAGCCCAGGCTGCCCTCAAATTCCCAGTCCTCCTTCTGCCTCCCTCCTGATTGTCAGGATCATAGATGAATGCCACTGTACTCAGCAATAACGCATTTCCCAGACTTTCTACGTGTCTACATGAAGAGTTGCATAGAATCTTGTGGTGGCTGAGCTCATAGGCCTGAGTTTGGATGCTTGATCCTCAGTTGCTATGACTATTTGAGAAGGATTAGGAGGCATAGATTCATTGGAGGAAATGTGTTTAATGAGTTTTCAATAGACTAATGCCATTGCTAATCTGCTCTCTGCCTCATACTTGCCTCTCAGCTATTGCTCCAGTCACCTGCTACCTGCTACCTCTGCTCCACCATCATGGACTCTAACCCTCTGAAACCATAAGTCCAAAATTAACTCTTCCTTAAGTTGCCCTCGTCTTATGTATCAGTAGAAAAGTACCACAAATCTGAGTCAAGAGTGAAGGCAGCAAGGGTGACAAATATAAGATAACGAAGACAGAGGTGTCTTTCATATGTCTTCCGCTACTCATAACATCTTTCCAATGAGTGGAGAGTCATTATGCACAACAGGTAGTTTTCAAGTTTCTGCAAAGTAACCTTGGCAAATTCTAACACAGCCCACATACACCAGAGCTGCTGCTATCTACAGCAAATATAGTAGAAATAAGGTTATGTACTGCCATGTGACCATCACCACTAGAGAGTTTTAAGCCAATAGAGAGCAAGTGCTGTGATTCTGTTCTGACAGACTATGCCACTTGAACTGACTTTGGAGACTTACTGGGGCGTTTTATGGGATAAAGTTTTTTCTCAGTAACAATTCCCCTGGTTTTGTTGTTTGTTGGACCTCTTTAACATTGAGAGATTTAGGATCCATTTAAGGGCATGTGTGTGAACATCTCAAACCCAATCAGTTTTAGCTGGTCTTAGTCACAAGGATTTCCTAGTCTGCTAGCCAGATACAATCTTACACAACTTGCAGGATGTCCTCTGCATTTTTAGACACAATTCACAGGTTTTGTCTATAACCAAGCGGAAAGGATTGTACAGGGATGTGAATACCAGGAAGGAATCATGGGTCTCTCTCTCTCTCTCTCTCTCTCTCTCTCTCTCTCTCTCTCTCTCTCTCTCTCTCTCTCTCTCTCTCTCTCTCTCTTTTTGGTTTTTCGAGACAGGGTTTCTCTGTGGCTTTGGAGGCTGTCCTGGAACTCGCTCTGTAGACCAGGCTGGCCTCGAACTCACAGAGATCCGCCTGCCTCTGCCTCCCGAGTGCTGGGATTAAAGGAGTGCGCCACCAACGCCCGGCTATGGGTCTCTTAAATTGTCTGCCACATTGGGTGTCGAGTCTTGTGTCCCTGGTCTGTCTTAGCTTCATCAGCATAGAGATTATCATTTTGGGCAACAGGAGCTGGAGACCAGTGAGCACTGTATAGACAACTGTCTAGGGACAGAGCCCAGACGCAGTGCCATGTGCTATCAAGGCAAAGACTGGCAATGGAGGTAGAAGACGTGGTCTTAGGGACGAATGAAACACAAGAGAACACGGTGTGATGTACATTTGGTACTAGGTAGTACCAAGTCTACCGCAGCACTAGTGAAAGTGGACCTGCAGATCTGGGACCACCACAGGGTAAGCTCCTCACAGGAACTACACTGAGCCTACCTGGCCAAAGGTCCTTCTGAGGAGAGTGCTCTCAAGAGGTAAGAGTGGGTGGCCTGGGTTTCCTAGGGACATATCTTCCACCTCTTCCATTCATTTAGTAAATTCAACGCTGGTGGAAGTGTTCCAGCCCACTCTTGCCTCTCCTTCAGCTTGGCTTCTTTTTTAAAAATTTAAATATAAATGTTCTTCCTCCCACAGCATTTTGAAGTAATTCAAGGGCTTGAGGGTAGCTGGTTTTACTGCCATCTGCTTTCTCCTCAAGCTGCCAAACATCAGTTTTTTTCCTTTCTTCAAGCGGATCAGGCACCTGCCGGTTGTGGTCTCATAGCTTATCTCCAGCCAGGTGACTTGACGCTGTGATGACTTGAGGGAGTTGAGATAAACATACGTGTTTAGGATGCCTGCTCCTAGGTCAACAAACTGGTTCCCGCCGGGTAAAAAACTCAGACTTCGGCATGCGCAGACAGTCTGGCAGCCATTTTAAGGGGGTAACACACACTACAGGAGAGAACCACTGCGCAGGAGTACACGGGACGCTTAACCCGCCCCCTTTCAGCCCGTAGCACGCATGCGCGGATTAGCCGGAAGGGGCGGGACTACCCGTTGCGTAGCGGCTGCGCTTTGGGAATGTCGGGGTGGGGCGGGGCGGGGCGACTGTCAGCTGACTGAGGCGCAGATTGCCTCGCGGGACAACGGTCGGCGACGCAGGTTGTGGTGGGGCCGGAAGAGCTCTCCCGGCGGGTCTCTGTGCGGTCGGTGAGGCACAGGGCCGCCACAGCACCATGGCGACCACCGTCAGCACGCAGCGCGGGCCGGTGAGTCCTCTGGGCGAAGGCCGGACTGGGGCAACGCAGCCTGAGATCGGGCTCCTCTTCTCAGCCCCTCGCGAGTTGCTCGGTTGTCCCGGAGCTGCGCGGGTCCTACCTTCGGGTACCCATACGGAGTAGCGACTCTGGTCCTGAGGGTCTCCCGGGTGGAAAAAGACGGAGCTTGGTGGTTTCTTGGATGCTCACGGCCCTGAAACCCCCGGACCTCGCGATGCAGAGGGGCCCTGCGTCCCTTAGTCCTCCACCCCGAGGAACCTGACCCCATTGGTCAGCCTATGGGAAAGGGGCCCCCACCCTCTTTGGTTTCCCAGACTGAGAATGGATCCCGACTCCCCTTAATTCCCCAGGTGGAAAAAGGGCCCCGAACCCTTTACTTCTCCAGATGTTCCAACCCCTTGGTCTCTCAGATGGACATGGGCCCTGACACTTGCTTCCCCAGATAGAGAGTGGTCCTGACCCTGTTAATTTCCCAAACTGATAGTCTTGGCTCCCATGATCTCTCAGAGGAGTGGGGCCGGACACTCCTGGTCCCCCAGAAGGAGAGATGTCCTGGTCACTTTGGTTTCAGAGATGGTGAAAGCTCCCACTTTGTTGTAGTCAGTCCTTAGTTGTGTCAGTTTCTTCTTCTCCCTGCACTTTTTGAGCCCAGTTAGTGGCTACCTTTCCAAGCCTCAGTTGTTCATCTGTAAATGAGGAGAAGGGGGCAGAAAGCTCGGAAACCCAACAATGCTGTGTCCTACGATACTAGCTGTCTCTCCTACCTCTAGTGTGGATGTCCTCTCAGTAGCTCTCTGAGACTGGTGTGGGTCGGTTGTGGTTAGCTAGCAGTGACTGTGTGTAGTAGAACACAGTTCTGATGGCTCCACTGTGTCTTCCCAGAAGTTATTGAAAGTGTCTACAAAGCCTTTGGTTTCCCAGGCCCCTCACGCCGACAGCTTGGTGTTGACAAGGGTGTGTGTGTGTGTGTGTGTGTGTGTGTGTGTGTGTGTGTGTGTGTGTAAAACAGATCATTCATTGGGGTAGATGACTGATTTTTTGCCTTTGAAGAAAGCCCCAGGCAAGGTGCTTTTTTTTTGGAGGGCTTTAAAGCAAACCTCCTGATCCACTGTCATACTTGATATGGAGCTTTCCAGAGTTGGGGTTGCCTTCATATTCATCAATCCTTCATGGTCACTGTGCCTCACCAAACTACAGAAGATTGCTAATGGCTGCCAGAAGATGGAGGGAGCCAGTACTTTGCCCTTTCCTATTTCCTGTCAAGTGGACACATGGCCAGGCAGAGTGGACCTTTCCTTACTGTGTGTCTGAAAGTGTCCTTACTTCTGTGGTTGGTCTTCATTTGAATTCATCTGATGGTGAGCCCAATGCCTGTCATTAATTGAGTAAGAAGTTATCCTTCCCTGTTGCTGAGGGAAACTGGTGCTGTGTGTACAGAGCTGGAATAACCTACACTGTGATGAGTAATTGGGAGTGACAGATGATGTTCATACTGGCAGAATCTGTGGAGTCAAGTCCTGACGTTTGATCTCTCTACTTGCCCAGTGTTCTAGGGACCACACAGTGTATAAATAAACATGGGCAGCTGAATGGTTTTTAGGAGCACTCTTGATGACTTGTAACCTTGTGTCTGGGCTCTAAGAAATTGTCATCAGTGACAGGTATCTCAGACTTTGCTTGGGATGTGCAGGACTTCACCGTAGTGTTAGTGGCCACAATATTTAGAGCAATTAGACACTGAGTCACAAGAGTGGAGCACAGGGACACAGCTATGCATGGTGACCCATATAAAGCCAGAAAATAACAGTCACCATCAGGTCTGTGCTCCTAACCATTGAAAGCAGAAAGGTATGGACTTGGTGTGGGAAGAGTGAATGGGTTATGGCCAGGGTCTCTTATAGACTAGAAGGTCTTGAACTTCATCTGGTAAGTGCTGTTTTTCAGAGTGCATGCCTTTTTCAGTTTCACCTTTTCACTGGCTGCTGCACCTAGAATCATCTACCCGTGTACCTCTGGATTCATTAATATTTGTAAAGGTTTATTTAGCCAGTTGACAGGGTCTAGTAGAACTGACAAGAGTGTGGCAGTTCTTTTCTACTATTCATGTCATAGTCAGGGTTGTGGAGCTGTAAAGATAAACAGAATGCTGGCTTCCAAACATAGATAAAGTACGCATTTGGTCAGTTCTGGGTTCTATGGGCAGCCTTCTTTGTGTAACCACAGCACGGGGTTAGGCTATGGTTCAGAGTGCCCATCCCAGGAACCTGAACTAGGCTTGGGCAGTTGTTTCTACAGCTGACCTTCACCTCTGATGAGTGGGGACAGACAGTGTCCTGGGAGGCTATAGAAGGCTGAGGACACTCTCATCTGGGCTAGGAGGGTTCTCTATTCTTGGTTGAGGGTTTGGGGGGGCAGGTATGAGGAGGACAGCCAGCACCCTCATAATTGTGAAGGAATAAAGTTTTTCCCAGGACATTTGACATTTGGTATTTTAGGTTTTTAGTTCTTTTTTTTTTAATAGCCACCATAGGACACTACAATCTATCATATCAGTCTCACTTTTGAAAATGCTGGTATTTTGAAATTACCTGCTTTGCTACTCAGTCCACACACCTGCTCCTTTCCTACAGTGAATGACTTTAAGGACCCTATTTCTTGTGGGGATGCATGCAGAAGGTCTTGCTGGCTGGAGGCTGCACCAGATGTAGGGATGGCATTTTGAAGGTCCTCCTTTATAGATGTGTTCTGTGGAGTCCAGCAGGTGCGAATTTGCCTTGCTTGAGATGATGGCTAACTAGAACTTTGCTAAAGGCCATTGGCTCTGGCTCTGCCCTTCCTCATTTAGGTGGTCCTTAGTGCCCATGCTTATCTGGAACCTCATCAGCACTGTACTTCCCTGAGCCAGTGACTTGATTAGAGATGACAAAAGATGAGTTAAAAATTTTTAACATTATTTTATGTGTAAGAATATTTTGCCTGTGTATATGTAAATATACCTTGTGCATTCTTAGTACCCATGGAGGTCACCATCTGGTGGCCATAGCCTAATGCAGGAATGCTAGACTTGTACCCAGGCATAGTACTCAGAATCTAGAGCAGACATTCCCAGGGACCCAGAGACACAGGCCTAATGGCCAGCTGTGAGCACATCCTCTTGCTCAGGTTCTGCTCTGTGAGGTTGCATGGGCATGGAGGCTGCTAACTCACACAGGAGGACTGAAAACTATCAGTAGACAGTAACACTCAGAAAGAAAGCTGACATACACCCTAAAAGAATGAACTCTTTCCTCTATTACTAGAAATTAAGAAGCCTTTATTTTGCTGTACTTTAGAAACTGTTTAGGGACAACCCAGACACCTCTGGCTGATGGGAAAAGCTTATCTTTAACAACAGATCCAGTTAACAAGTGCAGATCATAGGATCAAATTCAAAAATGACCCTTTTGAGGCTAAAGAGATGTTTTAGTGGTTAAATACAGTGGCTGCTCTTCCAAAGGACTTAGGTTTAATTCCCAGCACCCACGTGGATTCTGAGGTGAGGCTATGCCTGGGTACAAGTCTAGCATTCCTGCATCAGGCTGTGGCCACCAGATGGTGACCTCCACTGGCCTCTTGTCTTTTACTTTGTATGATAGTACTATTCCTTTTAGAAAGTATTTGACAGGGTTTTTTTTTTCTTTCTTTCATTTATTTTTTGGCTTTACATTTTATTATTTATATTTAAGAGGGATCTACCCACAGCAGCATATAGCTGTATCCTTAAAAGTCAAACCTAAGAAGTACAAGTTTGTAGTGGAATCTATTAAATAGCTTTATATGTTTTAAACTCTTTTAGGCTTCTATTTGTCTTACATGTTTCTATTATTGCTTTGATTCACTAAGCATAGATTTTTAAAAATTCAGTTCAGTAGTAAATTTGGTAAAGTTTGGTAAAGGTATGGTGTATTTGTTTTTTCTAGGCAGTTACCCCAGGAATTTCAACACACAGTATTGCAGACTTGAAGTTGGTTGCATCTCTGTCTCTTCCAGTCTCTGCAAAGACCATAGCTGGTGGTGCCCAGGTGGTCACCTCGTGCTGTTGTGCCTTTGAGCAGCAGTGCTTTTATGTAGTCAATGCTTGTTCAGATCTGAGATGTCATTTCTTCTCAATCCTCTTTGTCTGTTGTCACAATCCCTTTGCCTTACTTTCAAGTAAGAATCTTAGATTCCTTCACTGTAGCTCCTGGGGGCTCTGTGAAGAGTTGCAGTGGGCAGTAGCTTTTCAGGTCACTGTAAGTCTGTCCTGCTGTCATCCCAGTCACTATTTTACTTCTCTTCCATTCTTTGATTTTCAGTGAAAATCACTGAATGCCTTTAAGTGCAGTTTCAGTTCTGACTGAGAGCTGGTTACTGTTTATAGAACTGTTGTCAGGACTTGTGAGGATGTGCCAAGTTTATACTTGGAGAGTACACCAGACCCAGCCTTTGGGAAATACCATGAACTAGTGAGCTACTAAGTCCTTATGAGCTATTTTTTATTTCTGTAATCAAATCCTTTTTGGATACCATTTTTGCTTTGACACCAGCGAGACAGGAGCTGGGTACAGGTGGGCTGTGCAGTTGCAGTGTACCTGTTGAAGGCAGGGATTGGGGCTGACTATAGTGTCTGGGGAGACACAGCATCAGCTACTCTTGTACATATGATCTCTGGCTCTGGAAGGCTCTCCTGGCCTTGGCACCAGGCAATAGATCACCTCTGCCACAGATGCTCTAAACTATAAGCTGGTGCATCTTTAGAATTCTCCCTTGCTCCCTCTAGGCTTGCTGGTGCCATTGCCTCACACATATGCACATACACATGCAAGTCACACACGCATGTGGACACTCACCCATTGAAGTAACTGTGTCCTTGTCTATCTTTTTTTTCCCCCTGAGCTCTAGTAGCTTCTTGCCTTTTCCTACATTGTCCCAGATATGCTAGCACAGGTCGTTCATGCTGGGCAGACCAAAAGCCTTTGGATAACCCTAGGGGAGACAACTTGTTTCTCAGTCCATCCCATAGGCTGTGTGCCTCAGATGCAAGGATTGGGTATCATGTATGCCCTCATTCACTAGATTAGTGCTACACAGAGCCAAGGGTAAAGTCCAGTGTGCTCTGCCTGCCAGCTCCTCCTTTTGGACAGGGTCCTGGGGGTTCCTTGCATTCTTTAAGGGACACAGAAATACCATGTTCTTTTTGAGGGCTATGAGTCTGGGGCACACAGATGCTTCTGGCTAGGGAAGTCAGACATTACTTGGTGGTTCTTTATTTTTTCCCAGGCCACAAGGAGTGAGCATACCTAGCTTTACACTCCTGCAGCTTTTCCGTGGGTCTGGTGCCTGGAAGTGAAATTGTTTAACCTACATGTTTAAAGCCATTTGTTAGTATTGGACTCCATTTAAGTAAAACTATAGAAAGATCCATTGTGAGTCTGTTAACAGAATTCATCATTTAATATTCCTAAGTCTTTAAGCCATGATAAAAATATACCAAACATTTCCTCCACCAATATATGGCAAAAGTACATCTTATGATTAGACCTCTGTATTTTAGTATATGTGCTGCCGAATCGAGCACTAGACCTCTGTATTTTAAAACTTTACTAAAAATAGCTGTTTATTGGTGGTATTTTCCTGTGTGGTCATTGACTTTTATATAATTTGCACCAATGTCTATTCACCCTTTACTCTTGAAGCATTCCTCACTGTGCTAAGTGGTGGCTTTCTTTAGGGGTAGCATGAGGTGTCTTTATTTAGAAAAATCATCAGGGGCCTGCAGCAACAGGCAGGCTTATCTTTTCCTTCCCAGGACAGCAAGTATTGGTTGTATAACCAGATTGTTTCTTGTCTGGTTTGGGCTGAAGTCTTTCCCATCCCTTCCTGTTCCCTCTTTGGGTTCAGACAAATTTTTTTCTACTCAATTTGTGAATTGAATAGTTTTACATTTAAGGAAATTCTATAGAAAAAAAGTTCTCCCTTTTATTACTCTACTTTTCCTCTGTGATTGCCACAAACCATTGTCACCACCATGAAACTGGCTCCAGATTCATCTTTTTCCCTTCCCTGTTGTTGGCACCTCCTAGTACCATGCCTTGCCTTTGGCCATCTCTCAGGCTGCCCTTGGTTTTTTTTGGAGGAGGTACGTTATTCGGAGTGGTGTTTTCACATCCCTTGCTTGAATGATGGCTCACCTGGCTAAGGCAGGGTGAGTTAGCATTCTCTACCATAAGCTCATTCTTCTACTCTTTAATAACACAGTTAAACTCACATTGTTAAAATTTTCCTTTTTACTTACAATTTTAAGATTAAATCTTTATTGAAAATAGCACATTTGAATTTGATCTTTTTAGGACAAAGGTATTAAACCTTTGAACCTAGTGCATTGTGCATGCTTGGCAAGTGCTCTACCACAGAGCTATACCTCTAGCCACATTTTATCTTAACCATCCCCCACCCCATTAGTCTCTTTCTCTTTAATGAAAGCTTGGAAGAATATAATATGAAATCTCATTGTCAGAAGGTCTCAGTCCCAAGAAGGGGACAGATAAGAAACAATTAAAAAACAGCTCTGACTTGCTCCACATGGCCTTTCCTGACCTCCACGTTTGAAGCTGCTCCCATGACTGCCTGTATCCTGACCTATCACTGTAATACCTACTGGCCTGTCTGCCCTCCTGAGTATATCCCTAGAAGACAACAGGTGTGCCCTGCTATGGCCCTAAAGCTGCAATACATGAGATACAATTGGTAGTTGTTCCTATGACTCGTGAGAACTTGACCTATGTAGGTTAATCCCAAGAACCTGGCTGAAGAAAGTCTGGTTTTGCTAATCACCCATTTATGATGATGCATAGATAAAGCTGGTTATGTATCTTGGAGGTGCACTCTCTAAATTCACTGCAGCTAGCACAGGTGTGAGCCAGAAATCCCTCTGGAGGAACCCAGTGTTTCCTGGTTCTTGGCTTCTTGTGCCATATCCCTTTCTTGACTCTCACTGGACTCTCTGGAAGTCTCTATGATGTGCCTTGGAAAAGGCTGTCCGTCCCAGAGAGGCTTTGGGAACTCTGTCTCTCCTGTTAAGAGAGGGTGTCACTGGCCACAGCTACTTTCCAGGAAGACTCTGCCTGTGAGAGCCTGGCTCTGAACTGAGTGACCCCAGAGGTGCAGAGGGCATGTTGCTGAGTAGTTACCCCTCACAGACTATGCCTCTTACCTGACAGTGTGTTTTTTGTTTTGTTTTATTTTTTCTCAAGTTAGAGGAGAGCAGTGGGAACATCATCAGACCAACTGTTCAGGGGTCAGGGGTGGCTCACAGAGAACTCTGGACTATATCCTTGGTTGGTTCCAAACTTCTGACTAGTCTGTATTTTCTGGAAACACAGAAATGGGGAATTGGTAAGAGCCAGACTCAGGGATCCAGGCACTTTTGCTTTATTTATTTATTTTTGACACAGGGTCTTGGTATATAGCCCAAGCTGTCCTGGAACTCACTATATAGCCCAGATTGGCTTTGAACTCACAATACTCCCCTGCCTCAGTCTCTTAAGTACTGGGATTGCAGGAGTGAGCCATCATACAGGCCTTTTTCAGGGACCTTTGAAAAGAGCAGCCAGACCCCTCAAAGACAGGTGCTGTGAGCTGAAAAACTTGCAGAAACTGGAAGTCTATGTGATGCATATCAGTGGGAGCCCACAGCTAGGTGGAATAGCCAGTAGTGTGTGCAGTGGAGGCAGTCAGGGCCACAGAACCTGGTTACCCAGCAGCTCTCAGAAAATTCACTTTGTTACAGCTCACATTCATCACATTGGTACTTCTTTGAAAATGTATGTGCTGGAGATCTGTGCATAGTGGGACCACCTCAGGCACCTGGGTGGTCTGGTGGTTTGGTGCTCAGGCCCTTCCTTCAGTGGGCTTTCAGCCTGCAGAGCTTCATCAGCTGTTGTTCAATTGTGAGCATTTCTTCTATGTAACCCTCAGACCTGTACCCACTGGGCAACAAGCAGTTCTGCCTTCTGTTGGGTCTCCCTGGTTGAAGCTATAGATGCTTGCTCCCATGGCTGCCCTCACTGGTCCTTGGCCCTCCCATCTTGGGCCCCAGGCAGGTATGCCATTTCCAACTCGTGTTTTCTTTCTGGGAAGCCCTGGTTCAGCATGTATTCCTGTGGTCTCCCTCTGTGGTAGGTTTCTATGGTCATCTCCAGAATATGAACCTTATCCAGGGCCACTATTAGGAGTTTTAGATAACCTTTCCTCTCCTATTTTTCTTTTCTTTTTTTCTTTTTTTTTTTTTTTTTTTTTTTTTTTTTTGGTTTTACGAGACAGGGTTTCTCTGTATTGTTTTGGTCCTATTTTTCTTGAAAAATTGTATTTTCTCAGGACCCATCTGGTCTCCCTCCAGCCCTGTTAACCAGCCTTTCAGTGACTGAGACATGTTCTAAACTTTCCAATGAAGGTGTGCATCTTCAGGAGAAACAAGCTCAAATGAAGGCAGGCTGGAAAATCTTATGGATGAAAAAGCAGGCCAAGCACTCTCTAGGCCTTGGTGAGGGGAGGGTAAGCTGGACTGGGTCTGAGTGAACACTGGTCCAAGGGAAGTAGGATAGTACTGTGAGACTGCTTGGCTATGTGTTTTTACTCTACTCTTTTTTTTTTAATCTTTGCTGGAAGGTGTACATTGGTGAACTCCCCCAGGACTTCCTCCGTATAACGCCCACACAGCAACAGCAGCAGATCCAGCTGGATGCCCAGGCAGCCCAGCAGCTGCAGTATGGAGGAGCAGTTGGCACTGTGGGCCGCCTCAGCATTACTGTAGTACAGGTGGGTCTCAGATTCCTGTTGAAGACTGATGGGGCCGAGGAATAGAGGGAGTAGGCTGTTCTTGAGCATGGCAATGAGGATTTCAGCCTTTGCAACTCATTTACCATGTGGATAAGTAGAACTTTGCTGATTCTAGTTACTCCTGAAAATTTCCCTGAAAAATCAAAAGATCCCTGTTAGTTTCCCAGGGGATCTGCCTAAGATACTTAGAATCACTATTGGTCCATGCTGGGTAGTGTCCTCCATGAGGATGGTTTCTCTAACCCCTTTGTAGCAACTGGGTTGTGCAACTTTCCTGTAAACTATGGTTCCTGCTCAACCTAAGCTCCATTGTGAGGCCTAGGATGTGCACAGCCAGTGCACAGTTAAGATTAGAGATCTTGTCTAAGTTGCCCACTGCCAGGTGTGGCCAGCTTCCTGGAGTTATGTGAGTTCAGCACTGACTGGCACCATGTTCAGGAGCCAGTTACTGATAAGGTTAGGTGAACTCAAAGGCTGTTTTTTCATGTACTGGGAAATACCTGTGAGGTAAGCAGTTTAGGTAAGGACTTGCCTTCCTCTTTACTGGTGGATGCCTCATTTTTCTAAACTTGTCATTTCAGGCAAAATTGGCAAAGAATTATGGCATGACTCGCATGGACCCTTATTGTCGTCTGCGTCTGGGCTATGCTGTTTATGAAACTCCCACAGCACATAATGGTGCCAAGAACCCTCGCTGGAACAAGGTCATCCAGTGCACGGTGCCCCCAGGTGTGGACTCGTTCTACCTTGAGATCTTCGATGAGGTGAGGGATGCCCCAGTGTCACAGATTGGCCAAGTTTGGGATTTGATAGATTGGGTGTGCTGCAGTGTGCCTAGCAGTTATGAGACTGCATGACTGCTGCTCAGGCCTGTGTACCTAGCATTTAGTGGCTGGGGGACAGGGTGTGACCTGCCTGGACACCTGGCATTTAGTGGCTGAATGACAAGGTACAGCTTTTTTCTCTCAGCTCCTTTGACAGTGCCCATTGGGAATCATCACCAGTGATACAAGTGTGGGCAGAGTGTGAAAATAACTGTTCCTAGATAGGTAAAATTTCAAGCGAATCAGGCTCCACTAGTGGTGGGAACACTGTTCTTGCAGGCATGAATCACAGGCTCTGCCAGCAATGTCCCATGATCATACCAACAATTAGATGTGCAGCTTTTTGAGGGCAGTCAGGAAGCTCAAGTGACTGAAGGTGTCTCCTGTAGCTTAATTCTAGAGAGCATGTGTAGACCTGCCTCCTTAAACCAGTGCAAGGGCAGTGGGAAGAGAATGAGAGCAGTGTGGACCAGACAGGAGTTGGGCATGGGCAGCCCGGCCAGGAGGATGCAGCCTCCCCTTTGTAATGTCCCGTTGCCTCTTCCTGGTTTTGTTTGTGTTTTGTCTCTTTCTCCTTCTGTGTCCTCAGAATAGTAGGAGCATATGAGAAGGAGGTTTGGGGCTATAGATAGTGGGTTGGAGCTCTTGCCTCTTCTGTACCTGCTTGGCTTGAAACTTGCAGCTTATGTCTAGTCTCACAAGGACTAGGGAGGCAGTGTCCGTCCCTGAGCCTGGATGACAGCTCAGAGATGCTTTCCTGTCCTTTGACCTGACCTTATGGTGGTTACTCAGAAGGTACAGAAGTGGTAGTCAGGTTATGGATGATCCATGGAGGTCTGGGATTGTGGGTTAATGGGAAGCTCCTTGAAGGAAGCTGGAGGAGTGAGGAAGAACCCTGTCTTGCCAAAAAGATTGAAGAATGGCAGCTCAGGTGGAGTTAAAGTCATAGGGAAAGCTGGTCTCTATAACATGTGTCATTGTGGGCTGTGATGAAGTCACTTCACTCTTGTCTTCCTCAGAGGGCCTTCTCCATGGACGACCGCATAGCTTGGACCCACATCACCATCCCTGAGTCCCTGAAGCAAGGCCAAGTGGAAGATGAGTGGTACAGCCTGAGTGGGAGGCAGGGTGATGACAAGGAGGGCATGATCAACCTGGTCATGTCCTACACGGTGAGTCCACTGTCTGGAGAGGCCACACACAAAGAGATTGTGGCACCTCTCTGAGGGAGTGATGGCCCTGAACCTTGGGGAGTCGGGGGAGGCAGGGCTGGGGTCTGGACTTCCTCTGTCTCCTTTGTGTCTTCCAGGCCTTTTCTTTTTGGTTGCTACTGAGCCTGTGAGAACATGGGAGTATTAAGCATCCTGTGCACAATCCTCCTCAGTTTGACCTTTCTCATGTCTCTTCTTCTGGTGTTTAGGGCTTTTTTTGTTTTGTTTTTGTTTTTTGGGTTTTCTTTTTGTTTTTTGAGACAGGGTTTCTCTTTGTAACAGCCCTGGCTGTCCTGGAATTCGCTCTGTAGACCAGGCTGGCTTCAAACTTACAGAGATCCACCTGCCTCTGCCTCCCAAGTGCTGGGACTAAAGGTGCACACCACCACCGTCTGGCTAGTATTACCTGTCTTTAATAGGCAGTTTATGTAGCAAAGGTCCATTTTGTACTTGTTCACCTTCAGTTCAAGATTATTTGAGCTGCGGCTGGAGAGGTGACTCAACAGGAAAGAGCACTAGCTGTTCTTGTGAAACATCCCAGGTTTGATTCCCAACACCCGAATGGTGGCTCACAACCAGCTATAACTCCAGTTCCAGGGGATCTGATGCTCTAATTAAGCTAGCCTTCCCTGGCACCAGGCACACAGGATGCACATACATACATGCAGGCAAAACACCAAGACACAGTAAATAAGTAAATTTAAACAAAACCAAACAGTATTTCTGTGAGAAGCTACTGATACTGATGCTGTCTCCAAAACAGACCCTGAAGTGAGCTTTGTGTGAAGAGTGGTGGGGGTGGCAGCTCATGTGAGGCCAGTGGTTGATACCCTAACTTTTGTTATCACTGAAACTGGAGCTCATTTATTTCCGGCATCTTCCTGTCTGTTTCCCTAGCCCTGGAATTATAGAAACATGCCACCCAAACTGACTTTTTATATGGGTGCTAAGGATTAAACTCAAGTTCTCATGTTTGTACACCAAACACTTTTCTAACTGAACTGTCTCCCTAGCCCTGTCCTATTCTAGGTCACATTTCAGTAGCTGTAGCTCTGAGTCTACAGTATGTCTTAGCCCAAGTCTTCTAACCCAGGGAAGGTAGTGTGCTGGAGTGTGGGTGCAGGTGGAACCTGTGGCCACACTACATTCTTGCTGAGAACTCTATGTTCTTGGGTATTAATGGCCGGGCTTTGGCTAGGATTATATTGTGAGACTGGAAATAACAAGATTTACATATGATGTGGTCCTCTTTGACCCCATGTTTTTCTTTGTTGTTGTAGTCCCTCCCAGCTGCCATGATGATGCCACCTCAGCCTGTGGTCCTGATGCCAACTGTGTACCAGCAGGGTGTCGGCTATGTGCCCATTGCAGGTGTGTGCTGCTGCCTTGGTAGGCAATCCTGAGACAGAGTAGGATGGGAGGAGGGAGGGCTCAGTATCCCTATGAAGCTTGAATTGTTTGAAGATGGCTACTGCAAATGAGGAGTCTTCTAAAACTGACTCCAGGGTCATACTGGAATTATTTATGCATCCATAGGAAACGGTGTTTTCCTTAGTTGCCAACACATGCGAGGTGAGTTGAAGTTTTTAGAGGGGTAGAAATGTGGTCTGTGTACATTTTCATATATAGGTCACTGGAATGAGAAAACCTGGTTCCTGTTAAGCAAGGCATACTGCATCTTAAAAAAACATGACTTGTACTGAAAATACCCATGTAAATTAATATCTTCTTGGGTCATAAAGTCAAGATGTGGCTTTTATATATTTACTTTTTTATTTTTATTTATTTTTCATTTTCCAATCTTCCTGTGGCCTTCACAGTGCCTTTTGTCCAATTGGCCCTCCCATTAGAAAAGGGCAAGCCAGGTGAGACCATACCTGCTTCCTGGCTTCAGCCAATGGGAAAGACTGTAGCTCTGAAAGTAGACCCCAGGGCCAGCAGTCCCCCCATTCTCTGCCAGGATCCAGGGAACTGGAATCCAAGCAGACTGTGGTAGTCCTGTTACCCCAAGGAGATCAAAGGCTAATGCAGTAGGCGTCTGTAGGACAAGAGATAGTATAAGCTCCTGGGTGGGGCCTGATCCACATGACTGGTTGTTAGTGATCAGGGTGGGTGTTGTCCCTAAGCTGGGACAGCACAGAGAAGCTGTGGCTCAGCAGTGTGGGGTCTGAGGGTCCCACACAGCAAGAATGGAGTGACTTATTAACCTTTCAGCCCCTATGCCAGCTGAGCTAGGGAAGATAGTACAGGACCTGGGAATGATATCCACCCACACATAGCCTGAAAACAGTCCTGACAGAGCTTAGGCCTTCTGCCTGAGACAAATCTGCCTTCAGGAACTAAGAGGAACACTCTGCAAAGGAGAAGGAGGGTTAAGTCCATAGGCCTCCAGGCCTCTGCAGTATTTGAATGGAGGACGTTGTCACCAGTCCAGCAGAGACCACAATATACAGCCTGAAGTAGAGGGCAAACTAGTTAAATGGGCCATGAACCCAGGACCTTAAAAGAGTGTGGTTGTTCAAGAAGAGAGAGCCTTAGAAATCCGAGAATGGGGTCTCAGGATGTGTGCTCTCTGGAGTCCAGATCTGTCCAGTTCCGTGCCTGGATCCTGGGGTCTGAGGTTGGGTTCCCAAAGTGGCTCCCGGGTTTCTTTTTGAACTGCACTCCCATTGATGCTCTGATTGAACAATGCATCAGTGTATGCACAGAATTTGTCATTGAGTTGTCATGAGTTGGAGGTCTGAGGAGGGAGAAATAAGTGGGATGCAGTGAGCACAAAGGGTACTCGATTGTAGCAGAGGCAAAAGGTCACAGGTGGGAACATGCAACAGAAATCTGTTCCCCCAGTTTCTGAGGCCTTAAGCCCAAAACAAGGGCCACAACCCCGCTCTGAGGACTCCAGAGAGGGCCCTTCTTACCTTTTCCAGCTCTTGAAGTTACTATGTTTCTGGACATATCTCTGCAGTCTGTTTTCATCATCTCCCAGTATCTTTGTGTGTTTCTATCCTCTCTGGTCACAGGACAAGGGGTCTTCTGCTCCTTCATGGTCTCATCCTAACAAGGGTACCCTCTTTCCAAGTAAGGCCCATCTGTAGGCACCAGGGTTGGACTTGACCATATATCTTTGGGTGGTGGCAGATGGGTAGGGAGGCAACAGAGACAAACTTCTGTCCAGTTGCTAATACCAGAACTACTTCTAAACAAAAAAATAAAAGTTGCTGACCCGTTTACTCTTGCTTGGCTCCTGTCCTTCATTCTGTTATACCTCTAGAATGTGTGTGTTAGGGAAAGCTCCTCTATAAATATACTTTAATCCTTGCTTTTGATGTACATTTGAAAGTTAGGAACAGTCTCCTACTGACAGAATAGCTACCCCGGAAATAAAAGGATATTTTTCCTTTGGAGACAGCCTCTGATGTCTGCTCTGTCCCCATGTAAGCATGCTTCCTCGAAGTGAGGACACTTCCCAAGGGGAACCTGCTCTGGGACTGCAGCCAGGTTCATCCTCTCTTGTTATAAGAAGGAGCTCAGGCTATGGGGCTAGTGGAGGTCTTCCCAGAACTGTGACAGGCCCTACAGTTATTTGTCTTCCTTGTTTACCACCTGACCAGCTGTACCCAGATACTGCTTAGGAAGCTGCTCTCTTTACTGCTGCTCACACCTTAGTGTTTGGTGAAGTGACAGTATGCCCTTTCAGTCTCTTGAGAACATCTTCATATCTGCTCAAGTCTTTTATTCAAGGTCGCAGTCGCTGCCTGTCTTTTGTCAGACTCAGCTGTCCACTGATAGCTGTAGCAGTGTGGGCTTGAGGTTTGTTTTGTTTTCTGAGTTATAGTTTGTTACTATATTATTTTGTCACTCAGTGACCCCAGATTGGCCAGCCCTTCTCCTGAATTGTGTGCTTTTTGATGTCTCGCATGCTCTGTGAACTTCCTGGCTTCAACACAGGAAACCTCTGGCTGTCTTGTATATTTCCTTCCTTCCTCTGCCCTAGAATTAGCCACTTCTCCCTGAACCCTGGCTTCCACTAATGGAGAATCAGTTCTAGAAAATTTCTTGAATTGTTTCTTGTATTATGTTTATCTTAATCATTGGTAGGGTTAATAAGCATACTGCTTCGTTGAAACTTGATACCCAACTTTGGTTCTTATAATTCCTATGTTTGTGATGACAGAGCCATCCTGTCAGATGCTTGGGGTGTCCTATGTAGAGACTGACAGGGGCTGCCATCTGGTCTGTGTGGTTGCTTTCAGTGTATCTCAGGACACAGAAGCAGGAGCAGCAGTTCACCCAGTGTATTCTTATTTACTGTTGGTTGCTCTCTGGCTTCTCAAATGTAAGGTCAAGTCACATGATGCTTCTTGCTTCATATTAGCTCCATAGCTAACCTGCAGAGTTTGTTCTCTTGGGAAAGACTCATGCTTCACTGTTCAGGGTGCTAGGTACACATATGCAGACCATGTATGACAAAAGGGCTGCACACAAGCCACTGACAGTGGGTGAAATAAGTCTGTTAGAGATAGAATGGGAATGAGGAGGCTCACAAGTTAACCTGTTCTCACTGTCCATTGGTCCATCCCCGCCGTATGCCCAGGGAGCAGTGGATAGCCAGTAAGTGCCATCTGCCTTTGCATATCAGGAAATGTAGCCCCTGTTCTCTATGTCTGCGCTTCTGGATTCAAGATCACAGCTGCTTTGCCAAGCTGTATAAATCCTCTAGTTTGTGCACTTAGAAATGTCCCTTGGTATGCAGCCTGCTCCTGAGCCCATGTAGTCAGAAGTTGAAGCCTCAGGGACCTTTGGTTGTTGGTTCTGAGCTGTTGTGGTGGAACCATTGTGGGACCCAGGCTGTCTGTGCTGCCATGCTGTGGTACCAGTTCTTGAATGAAAACTCCCTTGCTTGTGTTTTTTCCTTGTGGCATTCTATTGGTGAAGAGACTCTTGTTTAACTGAATTGTGCCTGCTCACTGTCTCCATAGTGTGTGCTAAGTGTCCTGCTATTAGAAATGAATTGGTCCTATGCCATCAGTTTGTGTCCGTTTATAAAGAGGAAGGATTTTGTCATTATCACAAGATGATGTCATTGAGTCGCCTTTATTGAACATGGTGCTTTAGAGTGGGCTATGGGTTCATTTCCATCTGTATGGCTCCTCCCTGTACCCACTTGAACCTGAGAAGACCTTGTTTAGGGCCCAAGATTGCAGGGCTCCTGTCCATCTTTTGCTCACAAAGTTGACTGGTCACCCTACATCCGCTCTCACAAATTCAAGGAAGTTTTGAGAAGTTAGTCTACACTTAGTCATGGTGATAGGTCAAACTTGGATTGGTACTATGATGTCCACTCTGGAGGATGAAGACACCAGGGCCACTTTTACTTCTTTGTATGCACTGACCTCCCCAAGGAGCTGGTTTATGAGAGCAAATGACTATAGACTGCTCTCTTATGCTGACCCATGCAGTTGGTCTGTAGGTTTTACAGCAGTTCCCAGTCCTCTCTTCCCTGTACCCAGCTAGCCTGAAAAAATGTTGGAACAATCTGGGCAGAACTCACAAGGAGTTGCCCGGGCTGCTTATAGTCATGAACCTCTCCTTGTGTTGCTGCAGTGGCTGTGCGTGTGCACAGGCTCTCTATCCATCCAGTTAAGGTTGTCTGAGTCCTTTTAGGAACAGGCTGCCGTCTTAGTCCACTATCCTCAGTGAAGGTGGCATTTCATCCCCTTCTTTGTTATCACTGAAAGACTGAGCAATGGTGTTAGGATGACAACTTGTGAGGTGTGTGATTGTAGCCTGTCTGGGTCAGTCAGGACAAAGTCACAAAGGTAAAGGCCTGGCCCAGAGGGTACTTAGGAAACCTGTTTCTCAGTTTGTGCCCCTTCATCTAGCACGGTGCCCAAAGCCATGGAGCCTTCCATTGCCCACATGGCAAAAGAATTGGCTCCCCTGGTCCCTTAGACTGCTGAAAACATGTACTTTCTGATGTGTGTATTCATTGTGAAAGGTTAGTAACCTTTCTGAAATGTAAATGTTATATGTAGCTTTGCCTTACCAATGCATGCATTGCTACTGTAATGTCTTTGCTAGGCTGTGAAAGTAAATTCTATAATGTTGACATAAGCAGACTTAGGAGTATGGAGTGAAGTAAGCATAATACTTTGCTGTCCACATTCTCAGTAAAGACTCATATTTGTGACAAGTCTCCTAAGTTCTTGAAGTAACACATATGGTTACCGAATTTTCATTTTGCTCCCTGTAATGTTTGATTGGAAAGATCCCACTTGAATTTTTGTTCAGAAAGAAAATACATCAGGAGAGCAGACCTCAGTGGTGAGGAAGATGGCCCAGACTATCTGCCATGGGCATCCTTGTTGGGTCTGTTTTCAAGTGAGATTCCAGGTAGCCTTTCCCCTTGAGGCAAGTCAAGTGTATTATTTCTCCCTTTGGCACTGCTGCTTTGTGACCCCACTGTTTTTGTTTTTGTTTTTGTTTTTGGGAACAGGATTTCTCTGTAGCCCTGGTTGTCCTGGAACTCACTCTGTAGACCAGGTTGGCCTTGATCATAGAGATTCACCTACTACCTCCCAAGTGCTAGAATTAAAGGCATGCACCACCACCACACCCAGCTAACCCCACTCTTTTTTTAACCAAACTTCATCTTTTGTTTTCAGGAATGCCTGCTGTCTGCAGCCCTGGCATGGTACCTGTGGCCATGCCCCCACCAGCTGTGGCTCCTCAGCCCCGCTGTAATGAGGAGGATCTCAAGGCTATCCAGGACATGTTTCCCAACATGGACAGGGAAGTAATCCGCTCTGTGCTGGAAGCCCAGAGAGGGAACAAGGATGCTGCCATCAATTCCTTGCTGCAAATGGGTGAAGAGTCTTAGACCCATCTGTGGCCCTTGGCTTCACACCACTGACCCTTGGACGTGCCCACCCAAGGCTCCCCAGGGTCACCATCCCCAAAAGATTCCAATGAAAGACCATCCACATACCCCTTCCTTGGACATCTGTGCCTCCCTTTCCCACCTATTTTGGGGATGCATGTGGATTTTTGGTTCTAGGCAGGCAGTCCTCTTCATTGTTGGTGGGGAACAACTCCCTCCTTGTCTCTAGTTGGGTGATGGTGGCATAGCCTTGTTACTGCACAGACCAGTGGTCCTGTTGTTTGGGGACCTGCATCTCCCTCCCTCACCCTATTCTGGAAAGCATTCTTACAGAAAGCAGCTGACCCTGCCAGGACATTAAGAGTTTGTACAGCATCCTTCCGAGTTAGTGGATGTCATGAAGTTATTCTGCCTAACTGGGATGGTTGTTGAAGGTGCACTGAGCTCATGTGCACTTACTTGCAGGTTATTTTTAGAATTTTAAAGCTAAAAGCTCCTTCCTTCTGATGTCGTATGTGAACCCAGGCCCTCACCTAGTCCTGGTCCCGTAAGATACGCTTCCCAGCCATATCCAGCAGGTCTGACTTCTTGTCTAGCTTACCTGTCCTCAGCCACAGAAATCCAGCGTGAACACAGAAGGTATCCAGACCTGGTGCTTGGCTGGGCAGGCCCCACCTTGGCCCTCACTGCTAGAGGTTGCTTTCCTCCTCCTTCTGTTTTGTACCAGTACTATGGGAGTTACTCCAGGGGCTGTTGTTGTTGATAGACCCTCTTCACACAGCCCAGAGTCAAGTGAAGGAGACAGATGGGTAGGTGGCACTATGTGTTTACTACTAAAAGGCATTCAGGCATTGTGACACTACTGACCTGCAGCAGACTCTGTTGACCCATACTGTAGCTCAGCTTGAGTGATAAAAATCCCATGCTTAAATTAAACCTTCATGGAGGTAGAGGTGCCTGTACTTGTCTAGTAGATATTGTGTATTATATTTTGGGTTGCAAACCTTTGGGTCCATGATCTGGCTGTAGATCTGTTTAGGGACTGAGTGATGACACCTAGTCCTGAGATTCAGAGCCTTGAAAGCTTTCTTAGAACTGATGCACTGTATAGGTACATTAAGAAGCTGGCGAGCATTGCCACATGTTTGTGGCGTTACATTGTAGTTGCTTCTTCTTTTTCCAAGAGTTTGTACCCAGCCTTGGACATATGATCCACCAATATGGGCATGAAAGTAACTTCTAGCAGTTGGGACTTTTTGAAAAACCTAAAATAAGAAAGTTAGTGCTTTGGTTTTGGTCTTTTCCCCTTTAAAAACACAGATTAAGCTTTGATGTCAGCTAAAATATACTACTTTCTGTCTGTCATCCATGGGGGTGCTTTTTGTCAAATGTATTGTTTCTAAGTATTTATTTTTGTAAGCCCAAAGGCAGTATGTGGTGATGGTGGGCATGGGATGGTGGTAATAAGCACTTTTCTTTAGTTGTAGGTCTTTAAACCCTTTAACTGCAAAATGGAGAAGAAAGACCAATGTTTGTTAAATAGATTCAACCACTTACTGTAATCCAGCCAGGCACAGAAGTCTCCATTCTAGACTGTTGTGTGGCCTTGTGCTTGGTAAGCAGGACAGGACCTCCATAAGTGTCACCAGCAGCCTTGAGACGCTGCAGAGCAGGGTTCTCAGCACCTGTCTCTAGGTCTCAGGTGTGCATCAGCTTCTGCCTTAAGGAGGTATGGCTTGAGCAAGGACCGCTTCGTTCATGTGAGGCTCTAGAGGGAGCAGCACCATTTCCTGCCAACCCCTGAGCACTCAGAGGCAGCATTCACCAACTTGTGCATGCTCAAATGGGGAAGATTGGTGGTTAAGACAGATTTAAGACTTAAGCTGAACACAGACTCTTCCCTTTGTCATGAACATTTTATTTTTTTAATAGATTGAAGAAAGATCACATTTTATAAGGCCTCGTGAGACCCCCTACTCTCCTAGGTTTTGTGCTGTCTTGTCTTGGAATTTCACTGTGTCAGAGCCCATCTAGTACAAGGGAAGAAGCAGTGCTTGTCAGTGCCTGCCTAGGAGCCTAGGCATCAGAGCACGACTTGTTTAGCCTTCCATCCCATCCGGGGACTTCTTGAAAAGTTGATACACCTGGAAGGAGTAACTCAAAGGCAGAGTCTGTCACAGATGTAGACAGGCTTCTGGGTGGGGTCTAGACTTTCACTGGGTGTCATTGCTGCTCTTGCCAAGTTTGATCACAAGGTGATCACTGGAGCACCTGCCCTCAAGCCAGCTGTAGGGTGGGTATGTGTCTGGGTACGGCCCAGGCTCATTTCTTCTCTGGACATGCTGGTTGGCTGAAGTTGTAACCTGCTGCACGTTTGTGGTCTGACGTGGCCACTGTTTCATCTCACCATGTGAATGACACCTACCCATTTGAGAGAAGTGTTGTGTGACTGGGTTCTGCCTCTCCCTCCCAGGTCACTCTTTACAGATATTGGTGTCAATCTGATACACGTTCTGGAGGTTGGTGGGAATGGTTCTCAGAACTCTGTCTGTGGTTGTCTTGGGGATGGGGTCCAGGTCCAGATTTTTCTTTGATTATATGATATATTTTTTACTTTTCAGCCTTCTAATTTAATAAGTGGTCTATATAAAATAGAAAAATAAAGTCCTCTAAGGAAATGTTTACCATTTTGTTCCAGAGTGTTTTTTTGTTTTGTCTTTTTTTTTTTAAACAAAGCCCACAATGTACCAGTACAGGGAACCAATAAACCCCTTGTTCATGAGCCACTCCAGGGTTGTGCGGAGCAGCACTGAAGATGATTGGGAAGACAAGCCTGAGGCATTCAGTATGGGTGTTTCCAGTGAGAAGCAGGGATCTGCAGGGGTGGCAGCAGGCAAGTGCTTTGGTTGTGTTACTGGCAATTGCAGTATTACATCCTGACTTTATTGTACTTCTAACCTTTCTTTTCCAGGCCATACTGGGTACTCACCATTTCTCAAAGGGCCCATTGTGTCTCCCCACATGGTCATCAATCCCCATGTAGTATTCTTCTCAAGCTGTCTTTAAACTTACTTGCCCACAGCTTACCTGCCCCTCTTCACACAGGGCCAGGTAGAGAGGTCATGGTCATATTGGATGTTTGCTTCATTATAACTAAGTTATGTGCTGAGGCAGAAGCTGGTATGACCTCTTCTGACTGTACTCTTTGAAGTAGGTAAGTAGATGGGGAAGGCACCCTAGTAGTGAGCACCCTGGGGAAGGCCACCCTGGGAGTGAGCATCACCCTGAAAACAGTACTCTGCAAAGTGTGGTCCAAACAGCTGACAGAAGTTTGTGTCAGCACTAGACATGATGCTGATAAGGGACATTTATTCTCAAAAGCTTTTCTATGACAAATGACACTTCCCTAAGTGCTCATCAGAAAGTGGGGGTTACCCTCAGGGTAGAGTGAAAATTGCATTACATTTCAGCAGGTCAGGAGGGTTTGGCCTCTGCTGCTTTTCCTGGAGATGAGGCACAGTGCTGGGCATGTGTGGATGGACACAGATCTGAAGCCCCAGGTGCAAGGTGTTTGATAGCAGTCCTCAGCCAGGACAGGGCCTTGGCTCAAGAATGGGACTGTTGTCTCGCTAGGGTGTTAGAAGAGTAAGATCCTCATCCCCAGGTCAAGCTAGTGAAAAGCTGACGTAACAGGGACAAGAAGGCAAGAGATAAACAATAGGAATTCATGATTTAGTTTCTTCCTGCTGTCTTGGGTCGTGGTCCATAATCATGTTGTCCAGAATCTGTCCGGGTGCATAGAAATAAAAGAGCGTTCCTTCCGGAAAGCAGGAGTTGATGTAGGTCCACTAGTATCCAACACTGATTGTATGCCAGGGCAGTGGAAGGTTAGGAGCACCGAGAAGCAGTCTATCAGCTGGGATCAGAAGCAGCAATGCTTTGGAATCCTTGCCAAAGAATGTATGCTGGGTTTTGGGGGGAGAGGGGTTGTTGTTTTTTCTTAAGATTTTAAAAACAGGATAAAAAACATTGCAACCAAGCAAAAATCATCAGACTACTAAAAGCTCACAACAATGGTAAGAACTGAGTTGAATATTGAGAGGTAAAAACCAAGCCTTAGGGTGATCTTCTTCATGACCAGATGCCCTTATTTAAGTTGGTCAAGACTGAATAATGAGCTGAAAAATGGGGCCAGGCAGAGGAGGTACAGGGAGACAGCATGTCAGAAGGACAGTGGTGGACAACACTGGTGAGATGCAGGGGTTACAGAGAAGCCCAAAGGACAAAGTGAACTACACACAGCCGTAGTGTTTCGTGTCTGGTAACGGTGATGTGGGAGATGGGGAGGAACTTTCTTAGGGGACTTCGCTCCCACATGCTGAGCTGGCAGTGCCTAGAACTCCTCCCCTGAATGGTCCTGAAGCCAAGGGCTGGCTGGGATGGGCTCTTGCTGTGATCTACAAATGAACAAACTATGTCCCTGCTGACCTGGCTGAGCAGAGCCTTTCTCTGAAGTGACAGCTTGGTTGGGTGCCTCCCCAACCTCCCAGTCCCTGTCACTGGGAGAGCATCTTTAATAGCCGGGCAGTGGTGGCACACACCTTTAGTCCTAGCACTTGGGGAGCAGAGGCAGGCAGAGCTCTGTGTGTTTGAGGCCAGCCTAGTCTACAGAGCAAGTTCTAAGACAGCCAGTGCTGTTATGTTACACATAGAAACCCTGTCTCAGAAATTCAAAACAAAACAAACAACTCACCAGCCTGAGTTCCTTGTTTGGGTGTGCTTCTGGGAGTTATCCTAGAGAATAAGTGGTGGCACGGGGGTTCTGGAAAGAACCTGGTTCCCTCCTGGCAACAAGGGCCTCAGGTGCTCCATCTGCAGATTTTTGAGGTGGTCACCTGTGCTGAATCGGGACAGGATGGAATGTGAGGAGGTGCTGCTGGCATAGCCCCCTGGCCCATGGACACAGGTGATATCATGTATAAAACACACAGGCCTCCCTATGGGGTTAAGTATGCCACTATTTGTATTCAGGACAAGGTGGTTCTGAATGCTGGCCCAGTGACTAGGATCAGGAGGCTAGACCCAAGTTCAGTGTAGAACTGAGAGCAAGTAGGACAAAGTACATATGCCTCAGTGGGCCTCATTCAAGTTCCTGGGCCTGGCTGACTGCTGGGGGACAGCAGGGTGGACACAAGAGTTTGCTGACACAGCAAATACACTCAGCGCTAACCTGGTCTACTGCTGGCTCCTAGAAGCTGTGAACAGTGCTCCAGAATAGACCCCAGAACTGCCTTATGGATGATGAGGGGAGAGACCAAACAACAGAAGAGAGGCCTTTTCTTTGTCAGGTCTTGGAGAATGCCTTGCTCAAGAAGGCAGTGGAGAACATGCAGAGGATGTGCTGTCCTGTGTCGGGATGGTCTTTGAAGAGGCATTGTAAGGTGAGGTTCTTGAACAGACTGACTGTGAACTAGCAGAGAAATGACAAATCTCTGCCAGAGGCGCTGATAAGCTCTAGGTCCAAGGGCATCTCAGAGGTGTGGTCAGCAAGATCTGTGGGGACTGGTCAAGGACCATATAATTTTCAAGGTCAAGTTGACAAGGACATGTACTCAAAACCAAGCATGAACTGGACAGCAGAGGTTGAGGCCATCCTCCTTAGTGGGAGCTCTGAGTCTTACCCATCTGCAAGCCTCAGGCTGACATGGAAGCAAAGCTGAAGGAGAGGCAGGACTCCCTTGAGAAACATCCTTAGAGGTATCAGAGTCCCCCCTCCTCCCCCAGAGCTGTGTATGCATGTGTATCCTAGTGCATGCGTGGAGTCAGAGTACCAGATCGAGTGTTAGAGCAAAGACAGGCCATTGCTGACATCGGCATCATGTGGCATATCACTGTGCCCATGCTAGGTAGGACTGTGTAGAGCCAGGTGCTAGGTCTGCTTCTGTTCACCCCATGACTAGAACTCTGGTTATTTCCCATGACTTTGGATGCTCAGCAGCTGGTGTGCACCCATGGTCATTTGGTCTGTTTAATAAGAACTACTGCAGCTGACAGGCCATGCAGAGTCCAAAACAGGTAAATCAAGTCCTCCTTGGATCTGAAGTGAGCAAGAGCCCAGAGTCAAGATGCTGGAGTACCTGTATAGACCATAACTGAGAGCCTTTAGTTTCAATGCTGGAGCCTGGAGCATAGAGCCCAAAGTAGGGCCACCTTTGGGATAGAACGTTCAGAAGCAGGTGTCTCTCATCTGTCTTGCTTAATTCATTTTTCTGACTCCATAAAATCCAGAGGGGACATGTGACCAAGACCTACCTGTAACACTCTATCTGTAAGAGGCATGGTGGTGTGGACACACACATTAAAGTCATTGCAGAGTCCTGAAATGGCGATGTAAGGGTCTCGTGTTTCAGCAGCTGTTCTGAAATTTTACATACTAGCTCACACACTCAGGCCAGTCTCACAACTGTTTTGTCTCACAACTCCCTGGTGTTCAGGGCCCGGGTAGTATATGAAAAGTATGGAAACTCCGGACACATGGCTCTCTGTCAGGGTCCTTCGCAGGCTGACTTGCAGTTCGCTCTCTTGAGGCACATGACTTCACTGGGGTTTAGCCAGTCACTGCATGTAAGGCATTTGAAGTCCCTCTTTATATGCTGTGCATTTGGTGACATAGGTACATTTGTTGATGCTGGTTTTCAAATATTACTTGGTTTTAGTTTTGGTTGTGTTCTGTGTCAAGCATGTAAACTGTTTGATTCAAAGTCTTCGGTGCTTGAAGACCCCAGCTGCTGTACAGACGCCCTCCTTTCAGTTGCAACTCACACCACTGTAGTATCTCTTCCTGGGGACCTTTCTGCTGTTCCTAGGATGGCTATGGCATGCCTATCTTAGGGATATATCCCTGGATGATGAGATAGTAAGCCCAGCATAGATTGGGATGTGCATATCTCTCCAGGTTCTGTGGCTCCTTGTTAAGCTCTAGCAGCTCAGCTGTTATTTGAATTTCCCTGACCTAGAGCAAGACGGAGCAGGTTCTGTGCATTTGAGCAACATTTGCTTTGCTGCGTGAGGTTTCCAGTCTCAGGTCATGTCTCCGTTGAGGCTGTTGGTCTCTTCTGTGTCCCCGGCTTCTTTTTCTATGTTGCAGGTACTGGGCTGGTGGTGTAGCTCAGTGACACAGTGCTTGCCTAGCATGCACAAGCCCTAGGTTCAGTCCTCAACACCACAAAACCAAACTATAGCGTCATCATGTTGCAGGCATTAACTCTGACAAGGCTACAGGTGTTTGCCTGCCCCATCTCTTGTCTTTTTAAAAATTATTTATTTTAATTTTATGTGCATTGGTGTTTTGCCTTTGTGTATATGTCTGTGTGAGGTTGTCAGATCTTGGAGTTACAGACAGTTGTTAGCTGCCATGTGGGTACTAGAAATTGAACCCAGGTCCTCTGGAGGAGCATCCAGTGCTCCTAACCACTGAGCAATCTCTCCAGCCCCCTCTCTTGTCTTTTTACATTGTTGTTGATTTCTTTTTTCGGGTTTTAAGGAAATTTACCCATGTATTCTTCTAATGCATTTATGGTTTTTAACTTCTTTTGGCTCTGTCTGAGTTGTCTTAGTTACTTTTCTATTGCTGTGAAAAGACACTATGACCAAGGCAGCTTATAAAAGATAGCATTTAATTGGG